GTTGTATTTTGTTTGTCGAACAACGTTACGTTCCGTTACGTTTCGTTATGTTATGTCATCTTACGTTGTATTTTGTTTGTCGAACAACGTTTCGTTAGGTGATGTTGCGTCATCTTACGTTGTATTTTCTTTGTCGAACAACGTTACGTTTCGTTCGGTGATGTTGCGTCATCTTACGTTGTATTTTGTTTGTTGAACAACGTTTTGTTATGTTATGTTGCGTCATCTTATGTTGTATTTTGTTTGTTGAACAACGTTTTGTTATGTTATGTTGCGTCATCTTATGTTGTATTTTGTTTGTTGAACAACGTTTTGTTATGTTATGTTGCGTCATCTTATGTTGTATTTTGTTTGTTGAACAACGTTTTGTTATGTTATGTTGCGTCATCTTATGTTGTATTTTGTTTGTTGAACAACGTTTTGTTATGTTATGTTGCGTCATCTTATGTTGTATTTTGTTTGTTGAACAACGTTTTGTTATGTTATGTTGCGTCATCTTATGTTGTATTTTGTTTGTCGAACAACGTTACGTTCTGTTACGTTTCGTTAGGTGATGTTGCGTCATCTTACGTTGTATTACGCCGTTATGTTTCGTTCATTTACTCGTTCGTGCCTCCTATACGGGATATACTGTCAAGACTGGAACCATAGTGTGGAAGGCTAAACAGGTATTGTACTTTGCCTAATGGCAACAGCTACATATATAGAGCATTAGAGAAAGGCATCCACAGTTGTTCTATAATGGTTCAAGGATTGAAGGGGTAACCACTCCCCATCGAACACGACATCAGGTGGCCCATAGTAGAACTACCCGCCGATATAACACCTAGTTGCAAATAAGGCTCTACCAAACAATTAGTCACCGACTCAAAATGGCAACTGTATAGCATGTATTATTGCTAGGAATTTTTAATGTTTATAGTTCCGAAAATAGCACAATTTGAGTTCCTAAATTGCACATATTAACACAATAATTTGTATTGCCTTTAGTTTTATTAAGCACCTGACCATTCACTGAGGTTATACACACACACCTGTAATTTCTGTTTTCTTTGGTTTTGTCAGCTGTCCAATCATTGACATGATGTCTTGTCCCCCCTGAAAAAAAAACATAATAATATAATGCATTCAGTGATCACACACCACACTAATTTACTCAGAGTAACTTACACATCTATCCTTACTCCCATTGCTAGTATATATCCTCCTTACTACTTTGCAACTAGTGAATGTTTAGGTAGTTTCACACATGATAGCATTGCAAACAGCAGCATACCTGAGGCCGAGCGTTAGCCACGTCAAGGTCGTGTAAGGTAACGTCCTGGACGACCTCCTTCTTCTTGTGCACGTCTCCTTTCGGCAGCGGAACATACTCCTCCGCTTCAAGGTCAAACTCCGTCGCGTACGTGTCCGACCGGCCTTGTCTCTGCGCGAAACAACAAACGGAACATCAGTGCATGCTGGATACATTCAAAGACTAAAATTTGGCCCAATGTATTTTAAACCATTTCCTCGAGAAAGGTAGAGAGGTAGAAATGGAGAGGGAGGAAGAGAGGGATAAAGGATGAAGGGAGGGAGGGAGGGATGAAGGGAGGGAGGGAGCGAGGAATGAAGGGAGGGAGGGATGAAGGGAGGGAGGGAGCGAGGAATGAAGGGAGGGAGGAATGAAGGGAGGGAGGGAGCGAGGAAGGGAGGGATATCGAGGGGGAGACTATGGTGCCATTGACTGTTTGACATGCACACATTCACCACACTAGCATGTCTCTCCTCCACCAGAGGGCGCTACCTTGACGGCCCCGCTGTTTGCCTCTATGTAGATGACGTCACCGACGGCGATGTGCTCCTTCTGCAAGCTCTCATAGATCGTCGGGTCGAGCTTCAGCTGCTTGGTCCCCTTCGCAGTCTTCAGGCCGATAACAACATGACTCACGGTCTTCCCATAACCTGCAGATCGTCATGACCGACATTAACTAATAAACTACAATCGAATAATCAAAAAATTTATATATATATATATATTTTTTTTTGCACCTGCCCAGAGGGCTGGTAACAACAATTTTTTAGCGGTGGCCGGTGCTAATTTCGCACCCTGTATATATCAATATTGTTAATTATGTTACGTTATTACATGTATTAGGGTTTGTCGTGCAGAGCTGCAGTTTATACGTGTTATGAAACTGCAATCAGTAGTCGACCGCAAGGTCACGAAAACATGGCCGCGAGGGTTCGTCTGCGCACCTCCCATTGGGTTCTCCGTCTCGCACGGCGTCAGCTCCGTCACTTCGCCCTCGTAGACCTCCTTCACCTCCTTAATGCGAAGGCCGATCGCACGCCGGAAGTTCTCCATGAGTACCTCAGTCTTCTTGATCTCGGCTGAGTACACCTCACTGCCAACCATCGGACAGAACGGAACCTTGTTGCCGAGTTCTTGCGCAATGGCCAGTGCGAGGGCAGTCTGTGAAACAAACGCAACCAGGACTTGAAACGGTTTGTTAGCCAGAGACCCGTCTACCCGTCTTTTGGACGGCCTATTCCTGGATGAGACGGATGAAATTTGGTTGAGACGGGATGAGGGCGGCCCAATTTTATATATTATACACCTTGTATAACGGACAACAGTGCTTATAAGAATATAAAATCATATCAGATTCCTGTCTTTTTGGCATTTCAGACTAAACTTTCGCAATTTCAAGGTAAGGCCCTCCCCCTAGGGCGCTTCGTGCCCGCAGCACCCTCGCTTCGCTCAGATGGTGAGACGGCCTGATTTTTTCCCCTCGCTAACACCCTGGCTTGAAACTAACCTAATATTTACACTAGTCGAAAACAATATTTACCAGCCCTTAATTCTCTGGAGTGTGGACCGGAAGCATCATGGAAAGCAGTTAGGTTGATTTATTCTTGAACGCATACATTACATTAATTGTTACTACCTAAAACCCACAACATTGGCAACTTCACTGTGATACACGCACACAATAGAGAGTACACCACTAAGTAGTACTTACTTTACCGGTTCCTGGAGGCCCTGCCAGAAGTACAGCCCGTCCTGCCATCTTCTTTGCCCTTATCAATTCTACAATGATACCAGCTGCCTGCAACAGTAAAATAGGCAAATATGTAACACCAATTCTATGACAGTATAAGTAGACTCAGCTATGAAATTGGTTTGAAAAGCTTGCAATTCGACCAGACGCCAGATGCAATAGGTTGTTGACGCTCACCGCCTCATAAGCTTTTACTATAACTTTGATCTTGCTGTTTCTGCGGCTCTCTGTGGTCTTCGTGCACAGATACAAGCTATGGTGGTTGTATCGTCGTGTCAATTTAGACATCAAATTGAACAAGAAAAAATAAGATTAACACACGAGTTATCCCACAGCTTCCCTCCTTCCTCCAATGCCTTGCAAAAAGTCGTGCAATTTTTCCCCATATGGTCAGTGGTTGCTGGTATAGAAAAAACACAGTTCTAAGTCAAGCTCGCCAATACTTTCCACAAAAGAAATTCCCATGCTATAGACTATTATGAGTATAGAACTATAAAATAACTTGAATCATTCACAGCCATTCCACCGGACTCGTGACTCGCGTGACATTGCTACAAAAATCTCACTTTTAATGGTCTGGCAGTTGTATATTAGCTTGCTGCTACTTGTTTTAAGAAAATATTTTTGCAAAGGCACCGGTTATGCATATCTTAGCACTGAAGTTATTGCAGCCACAGATATCACAAACTATTCTGCGTGACTCGCGTGATGGGCTACTAACACATGTATTGAAGTATACTCCACACTTTAGACTTTTCGTAGAATACTATAAGTTTGATCTGAGTTATACCTGATGAACTAAGTACACAAATACCCTTGATAACTCCATACATCATTTGCACTGCTAGAAACCTCTTCTGAAGTGTCAGAGCAACATCCTCCTAAGTATGTGACTCGTGTGAGGCGCTACACTGGTAGTGGTAGATAGAACTTGTCCTGTGATGTGTCAGATACTCTCTTTCTCGCTCTTATAAAGTTATAAGTTACTAACTAGCTGTAGTCAAGGTAGTGCATTTAAAATTAACCGAACATCCAAAATAGTAAATCTGCATTGGCTTCGCGAGCGTGACGAATAAAATCGATGGGTACACAACACATTACACTCAACAACAACAGTACAAGGGTACAGAACAAATTAAAGAAATTGGAAGTAATTGGGCAAATGAGGCTTTAGAAATCGTGAAGGAGTATGACATAAGTATGTCACTTAAATGACTATTGGTTCACAACATAAGAAAGAATGGAAAAAATATGTGAAGAAGGCTATTTTAAAAACAGTAATTATGAGAGATATCATGAGGTCTAGTGAGAAAACAAAAATGATAAATATCAAAAGCTATGTATTAAAGACATATGTATATGACAAAACTGTCATTTGATGATGCATGCTTTGTGTTTAGGTGTAAGACGTGCATGATAAACTTAGTTATTTTAAAAATAACTACAGTAACGATAGATGTGATTTGAGTGACGAAAGGAAAAAAGAAAATTTGGACCATTTATATTCATGTAAGCCTGTAAGGTATATGGAGGGTATAATAAAGGGGAACGATTAGAAGATTAGAAAAGTGATGACCCGAAAATACTAAAACCAGTACTAGAATATGTTAGAAAGGCATTATCAATTAGAGAAAGTAAAATAATCAATGCTCACTTGTAGACAGAATTTCCTTATCTACAGGATTTCCCCGCACATTCCAGAGAGAATCAGTGCCTTGTGAAATACAAGAGAGGGACCCCAAGATACAACACTTGAACATCCTAGTGCCATTTTGCTCAGGAGTGAGCTCCTCTCCAGACATCGATACATATTATAGCAGGGTGCGAAATTAACGCGAGTCCGGAGTCAAATACTCCCCGATTTACTGTCGGACTCCCTGTCTTGACATATGCAGGAGTATGTGTGATGGACTAAATTCTGTTGTACTAACTAGTAGTAGTTCGTTCCAGAGCACGGCCTCGCGAATTACAGTATTTTTTCAGCAAATGTCCAAAGAAAATTTGACAGATGTAGCACATGCGTTAGTGTTGTTAATGTTAGGATGTGGCTATTCTTACGACCAGTCGTAAGAATTATTTATGGACTATTCTTACACAGATACACAGATACACAGATACACAGATTCTCTTCTGACTCTAGGTCTCCTCAGAGAACCTCTACTGTCAGCTCTTGACAATTTCCCATGTCACGGTGGTTTGTAAGATATAATACGTATATAAGGAAATTGAGTCGTTTTTAAGTTAGTGTTAGGGTTAGGCCATGAAAATTGAGGCATGAGTTTACCGTCCGAGATATTTTGAAAAGTGAGGAGGCTTTTTTTCATTTTTATTATTCATTTAATATGGCTGGGTACCATTTCCAACTGTAGCCTGGCACGTTTTTCGGGATCGGGCTGTAAGTCGATGTACTCAGGATACGTCAGCATGCTTTTGCACCCTAAACCAAACCCAAGATCTCAAAGAGCCAGAGGGGGATCAGGACCCCAATGAAGGATGTAAATAGGCCCTATAGCGTTTTTGTATTGGTAATGTCTGTAGTACTAATGAGTAAATGACAGTAACTTAGTTTTGAACTTCACTGCGGACTCACTCTTTTTGAGGGCAGGAAGTCCGTTGGACTCCCTTGTTTAAAAGTTAATTTCTACCCCTGTTATAGCCTTATAATATAGCTTACATTAAGTTATATAGAATAATACTAATACTAATAGTAATAGTAATACTAATACTAAACAAACAGATACAGACCTCCCGTGCCATTTCTTGGCCAACAAGACCTGACGCTGCCATAATTGCTGTTCCATTTTCATCAAGGCCTAACCCTTTTACATGGCTATGGGCCGCAATACGCTGCGTCTTTGTTGTACTTTTTACCTCCTCAATCTTCATTTTTGTGGTTAACGGACAGTTTGATCGGCGATTTTTAAAGTAACTTCACAGCAACGCATGAAACCATACAGACTACAGTATAAAAATGGCGCTACTAGACCAGCTGTCGCGCCCTCTATAATTATTCATTCTCCGACGGTCTTTCGATGCGGGAATTCAATGCAGCGGAATTGAAACATTTGAAACACTCTCATAAAATAACATATCACAGAAAATTGTAAGTTCTGTGTTTATACATTTTGCAATATTATTTCCATCTTTCAATAATGTAGTAGTACTACTACTACTACTACTAGTACTAAATTAAATAAAGACGAAATGTGGGCTAACGCTCCATTCATTAGGCATTACTCATTTAGGCATTACTGGCATTAGATTAGGAGTGTTCCCTACTTTGATATCATTAATTGATTAATGATTAATAATCCTAACCCTAACTTAAATGACATTAAACCACAAACTAATATATGACCATATGTCATATATACTATAGTATACCGTGCATGGGCCGGGGCATGGACATTCGTCCGAGCATCGGACACCTGTTCGTATGCGCTATTCGTCCGAGCAGTTGTTGCGCATGCGCTGTTCATGTTGTATTACATAAATGTAATATAATGCTAGTCTAGGGAGTCGGCTACTCCCTAACCACGCCTACTCTCTAACTCTAACCTAGCTCTAGTACTATTGCCCGCGTTCATTAACTGCCGCAGGGCTATAGAACATTTTCAACTAGATTTTGCAGCTGCAACTTGTTACCACCTGTTCCCACGAAAAATGGATCGCAAAACGCAAAATGATCGTTTTTTTTTACACTATATTTATCTACATGGACATCTCACCTATCTTTTTGAACACTTTCCACAACTTTACACCATGTATTTATCCATTTATTCCTAAAAGTGCTAGCACTACTTGCAAATTCCATTTGAAATGCTGTGTGTACACGCGTGATGTTACCCGAAATGTAGCTGCATCGTAGCTGCCATGTGTTTTGCCTACATATCTGCTATGATGCAGCTACATTTCGGGTAACGTCACGCGTGTACACACAGCATTTCAAACGGAATTTGCAAGTAGTGCTAGCACTTTTAGTAATAAATGGATAAATACATGGTGTAAAGTTGTGGAAAGTGTTCAAAAAGATAGGTGAGATGTCCATGTAGATAAATAAGTGTTAAAAAGCCTGATCATTTTGCGTTTTGGGATTCATTTTTTGTGGGAACAGGTGGTAACAGGTTGCAGCTGCGAAATCTAGTTGAAAATGTTCTATAGCCCTGTGGCAGTTAAAGAACGCGGGCTATAGTACTAGAGCTAACTCTAACCCTACCCCTAACACTAACGATAAACCGACTCGGATCTCTTATATACTTGAATCATAGTACCAAACACTATCTATGGTGTATAACCACATACGCATGTATGCAGGGGCGTCACAGCCGTAGGGCTGCCGTAGCAAAACGATCATAGCAATTTAGCATTTTAGAGCGTCTAGATTTCAAAATTTTCTGGGGGAAGACCCCCCAGAGCCCCCCTTCACACTAATTCCTACCTCCGGCACTCGTGCCCTGCGCCTGCGGCATGCAACATGAACAGCGCATGCGCAACAACTGCTCGGACGAATAGCGCATACGAACAGGTGTCCGATGCTCAGACGAATATCCACGTCGATATACCATATATATATGAATCTACTTTAGGCACCTTAGCCTTAGGTATCACGAAGTGATGCACAGATTTCTGTGTATCTTCAACTGATGCACAGACTTTCCGTATATCAA